CCTGTGTGTGTGTGTGTGTGTGTGTGTGTGTGTGTATGTCTTAGGGGTGGGGAGGCTTGAGGTGTCTCTGTGCGGGAGAATCTCGGGGGCTCTCGGGTGCATCCATCTAGAATCCTCAGAGTATTGGTGCCACTCCTGGTGCGTGTCCTCCTCTGAATCCACCCGGCAGGGTGGCTGGATGCGGGCCCCCCGCCCCCAACTCCCCCAGCCTGTGTGCTTCTGGGAGAGTCTCTGGGAAATAAAACAGCACCCCCTCATGGGCTGGTTGTGAGGATTAAATTAGTAAATATACATACATACACACATACATACATACATATATATATGAGCTACGGCATTTAGAGCAGCCCCTGGTGATAGGGGGTGGGCGTCCCTCAACCTCCATTAGGAAGACTCTCCTCCCTGGTCCCTGATGTGACATGGGGGCCACCTGAGCGCGCACTGCCCCAGCACCCAGGTGACTTGGTCCCCTTCCTTCCCTTCCCAGCCCCTCCCCTCTTCCACCAACCAACAAAAACCACACACACGTAAGAATATAGAATTTTATCTTATTTTAGTTAAAAAAAATAATTGTACCACCAAATGAAAAAGTAGCTTTCTTTGGGGGAAGGTGAGAAGGGAGGGAAAAAACAAAAGCGAGAAGCCGAAGGAAAAGAACTTTTTATAGTCATCTGTATAAACACATCCGCTAAGGCAAACGCAATTCAGGACCAAGGCTGCCGCACTGGGGTCAGCACTTCCTAATTTCTGCAGATTCTAAGGCCAAAAAAATAAAACCTCTGCAAATCCAACAGTTTTGTGGACTCTTGGGGGGCATTTTACTAAAATAAAGAGTTGTCATGTTTAAAAAGCAGTGACGTTGTCATGACACACACCGAAAGTTGCATAACCGTGGCCTCGGTGGCCATTCACGTGTTTGGACTGGTGACGGGCACAGTTTCACGACACGGCAACGGACACACACACTCACACGCACACACGGAAGTGAGCACACCGGGAGCTGCGCAGGACCGGGCTGGTGGCACAGGCTTGGCCGCAGCCCATCTGGGGATGGGCACAGGGAGGGCCGGGGTCCCCATGCTTCCTCAGGGGGTGGGGGTGACGGGACGGGTCCCATCGCTGGTGACAGGGCGGTGCACATCGCATGGGGAAGGATGGTGTGAAAGGACCGAGCCAGGCCCCTGCTCCCCGCCGCCTGGTCCGTGCAAACCACTCAAAGCACTTCCCGGACGCCTCCCGGAGCACGGAGCCCAACACTAGTTTCCTTCCCAGTGAAGGGGCCAATCCCTCCTCCTCACCCTGCTCTCTCCAGAGCCCCTGGGCCCCTCGGGCTGTTCCAGGGAGACCAGGGGGTGGCGTTTCTGCCCCCAGAGCCTTCCCTGCCCGCGATCCACGGTGTGGCCGGCAGAGTGTGGGCCCGTGAGGTAGATGGGCACAGCTGCCCCCTCACCCTGCCTGGCGGGGCCCCAGAGGGCCGGGGTCTCCGTGTGAGCACAGGGTGCCAGGGCCTGGGTCCCTTCGCCGAAAGAGAAGCGCCCTCCCCTCTGGCAGAGAGAGGAGGCAGGGGCTGGAGGAACGGCTGTCGGCTGTCGGGGGGCGGGAAGCCCTCGTGTCTCTGATCAGCCCCTTGGGTCGTGCTCTGCTCCAGAGCGCCTCCCCGAGGTGCAGGGCCCCCGGGGGACAGTGTGGCCTGTAGGCTAAGGGCAGGAGGCCTCTGGGAAGGGAGGAGGAGAGTGTGTGGAGGGCAGGCACCTGGGGCAGGGGGGACCCTAGGGCCAGGAGCTGGGCTCGGGCCACTGCAATGCTGGAGCAGGCAGGGGGACGGCCGGGGGG